TCAATATCCCCGTTACCATGCCAACTATCTTATATTCATTTTCTGATGACATTCTTGATTGATGCCTTGGGGAGCTTTGGTTACCACACAAGCTTAAGACAGTCTTTTTTTTTTTTTTCTTCCTAACTTGACAGCATCATTTTTCTTCTCTCCAAGGGAAATACAAATGCATTTCTGATTTAAAAGCTAAGTGCAAAAAAAAAAAAAAAAAAAAAAAAAAAAAAAAAAAAAAAAAAAAAAAAAAAAAAAAAAAAAGCTAAGTGCAGTCTTTCTTTGCCAGGGACCTAATACACTAGGCTTTAAAAATTGATCAAAACAGGTTGGGTGCAGTGGCTCGTGCCTGTAATCCTAGCACTCTGGGAGGCCAAGGTGAGAGGACTACTTGAAATCAGGAGTTGGAGACCAGCCTGAGCAAGAGCATGACACCATCTCTACTAAAAGAGTAGGAAAAAAATCAGCCAGGCAACTTAAAATAGAAAAAATCAGCCCGGCACGGTGGCACACACCTGCAATCCCAGCTACTCAGGAGGATCGCTTGAGCCCAGGACTTTGAGGTTGCTGTGAGCTACGCCAACATTATGACACTCTAGCCTGGGCAACAGAGAGAGACAGACTAAAAAAAAAAAAAAAAATTGATCAAAACAGTGACTCCTCATAAGAAGAACATCTATCACTAGCGGAGTAATTTTTTTAAATAAAATAAATACAAGAAGAAGTAGAGAGAAAAAAACGACTTTCTTCTCTTTGAATAGGGAATTCTTTACTATGACCATTCCACTCCAAAGCTCCCACAGCATTCTCAAAGAAAGCTAGCAAGAAACAAACATTTTCAACTCATTCCAGTCACCTCAAGTTCCTGCTTTTTCTGGGTTTCTAGTTCTATCAACCATTGGCCATTGTCATAGCTGAAATGATCTCCTAGAATAACTCGAAGACAATTCAGACAAGCCCCTAACTCTATTCATGCCCACAGATGACCCAATCTACATGCTACAAGGTAAGTAATGACCTTAAGGAACAACCTTAAGCCTGACAGTAAGCTCCACTTATTTAAGCAAAGCAGGAATTCTCTAGCAAGGCAACCCTTTCTTTTTTAAGCAACCCACAGGAAAAAAGCAATAATATATCACACAGTTAAAGATGCCTTCATAAAATAGGCTCAATTCAAATTCCAATTTCAAAACAGATTCATCAAAGAAACATCACTTGATCAAGTGACAGACTTGAGTGTTGACTACCCCACAGCAGCCCTCAGCCTTTCACAACACATTCCCATTAGTGACAATAATTACATAATGATATACTATACATTATTACCCATCCCATTTTACAGATGAGGACACCAAAGCCCCAAGAGTGGGAGTGCCTGCACGTACACTAGAGACAAAAAAACTGATCAAAGGGCAACTGCCATCACTCAGGAGTAAACTACAGAGTAAGGACTCACATCCAGGTCTTTCAATGTCTCCCCTTTCACTAATCACCATGGGGAAAACAAAAACATCCCCTGTAAATGGATGCAATTTAGCAATTTTCTACTATTATTCCCCAAATGAAATTCAACTCATTCCAAAGTTCTTAGTGATAGATACAAACAGTTCTCTATATGTTTCCAAGAACAGTCTAATTTATCTAAATTCAAATTAGCTCTTGACTAGTCTTAAAAATTAAAACCACCTTCCTTTCCCTGAAAAATCTCCAAAAGCTTTTGTTTAAATCAATTCAAGACTGATACAATCACTAATCCAATGCAAAGGGTGTACTTTGAGAACTGCTTCAAGTTAAAAATAAATGAAACAGGCCGGGCGCGGTGGCTCACGCCTGTAATCCTAGCTCTCTGGGAGGCCGAGGCGGGTGGATTGCTCGAGGTCAGGAGTTCGAAACCAGCCTGAGCAAGAGCGAGACCCCGTCTCTACTATAAATAGAAAGAAATTAATTGGCCAACTAATACATATAGAAAAAATTAGCCGGGCATGGTGGCGCATGCCTGTAGTCCCA